GCTGAACTTCATTCCTTAGACTTGTTTTTGAAAACTTGAACAAGAAATAGACTTAGTGAAACTCCCTTATTATTACAAGGTTGGCATAATGTCTACTTAATGAGATACTTTTTATGGCAGTGGTTGATTTTTAAATCCCTCTTTTCATTCCTGAAACCTAAATGTTAATAGCACCTTCCATTGTGATGCTCTCTGCTAGCATGCATCTTCTGTCTTCTGCAAGAGGCTGCATGCAATCCTGCTAGCAAGCTCTTGTGTCATAAATAGAATTTGTTCAGGAAATAAAAATGTATTGTTTTCATTGTTTGAGGATGCTACTAAATTGGCTGTATGTTTGTCTAATAATCACATCTAAAGCTGATTATTCTGGTAATAGCCTTAAGATATTATTTAAAAATAAATATATAAATGCACTACTTTTGTACTAATACTAGTTTTTAATCTCTTCTTGTTTCTATGAAGTCTGAATGAGATTTTCAAAATTGAATAATAATTTGATCCGTTAATCTTTTGAAGCTAGTAATTTTATTTTCCCCTCTTTGCAGTCTCTGAGGCTCGCAAATGAATAGAGCTTCATTACTGGAGTCTGCATTTAATAACCATTATCCATTATCTTGTAATTAAGACTCCCTGTAACGAATCATGAGGACAATGCAAAAATACATAGTACATTTCTTTAATGAACTGGAAAATGTTCATCTTGTTCTATTTAGTAATGAGTTGCTGAATAGTCGTTAAATCCACTGGAGAATAGAGCTAGATGGATTTTGAAGACTATCTTGAGTTTGTGGTTAATCTATTAGAATTAAAATTTCATCTTCTATTTTTATCAACAGCTGATTAGAAGTCATTCTGTTTGACCAAATTGATTAGAAGACCATATACAAGGGCAGCTGTTGTTTAATGAAAGTTTTTAATGAAACTGTACCATAGAGAATTGTAATTATAAGACTTATAAAAGCTTTGACTTACCTTATACTAGAAAAAAATGAAAAGTATTGCACTGAAGGTCTTCAAGTGCTGCATTTTGAAAGGGAAATTAAAAATATAATTTGGCAATGTTGAAGTTTCACTTCCACTGTTACTTGTTTTAATGTGACCATTAGATGTCCATAGTGTCTCTCTGGAAGGGAGTAGCTCTGCAATATGTAACTCAATTGTCTCTCCTATGTGCTCTGTTCTTTGCAAAGCTCAATCAACTATTAATTGGCTCTTTTGCACGTTGCACTTTCTCTGGAGTTAGAACTTTTTTCACAAATAACTGTTTCTCTTTAGAATGGGAGTTATCATAGGAGGGTGCAATTTAATCACCAATGGGCTGAGAGTACCTAGTCAGGAAGCCTATAGAGAAAACCGTGGTCTTACAAGGCACAGTGTTAGTGGTAACATTTGATTATGTTTAAATCACAGGTTGCAGAAACATGCCTGGCTTTATCTTAACTTCCCACCAGGCTGAGACCTAGCTGCATGCCAATCAGCTGTGTCATCAGGAAGATGGATTTAGGGAGTGTGTCACAGCACACCATCAAAACGTAGTCTAGGCAACACTTTAGTTGGAGCCAGTGGTGAAACTTTCCTTGCTTACTCTAGGGGATGTTGTAGAGGCATCATCATTCAAATAAGAGACAAAATGGACCCTAAGCCAAATTTGAAGTGGAAGCAGATGCGGTTCCAATTGACTGAAGTGGATGATGCACTACTACACGATGTTTGAATTATCCCTCTTCTTCTCCCGATTACTTTTGATAATTAATGATCCCACAGTACACCTTTTCTAAGAAGTAGGTTCCCAGGGATGAAGTGCGCCCTAATGCAACTAAAGAAGTTTTGTCATTGTATTGTGTCAATGCAGGATCATACACTGCAAGGCAAATTTTTTGGTTAGTTTTTTAGCTTTTTTTTTATATTGCGCTGCAGGATTTGTTTTAAGCCAACCCAGAACAGCAAGAATGCACAAGAACACTAGACAAATATTCAGGACACGCAGTGGAGAATATTTTTCACAAGTGAGAAACCAGAAAAAATAAGCCAAGGCACTATCTCCTTCTTTAAAGAACACAGATGTTTTGACCTTGTTACTGCATTATATCAGACCATGGCTTTAAGTATAGAAATTTGCAATGTTACAATTGCAAAATGCATAAGAAGGGAGTTTTTCCCCTGTTTACAGTATTGCACAGCTGGTTTTGTAAATACATGTGGGATTTCTTTCCTTTCACTTTAAACAGCTGCAGGAGGTACAATACTAGACTGTCAAATGTAAGACTGAAGAGATGCAAAGTTAAATTTAAAAACTGATTAAATTGTTTCTATTCAGAAAGATCCTTTTCTAAATACTAAAATGTTGATTTATATACAAAATTTGTTCAGAGGAAGTAATTTCCATTGTTGTGGTTAGTCAGACACATTCCTATTAATGTAGATACACACATATATTGAGTGTCCGTACAGAAATGTATATTGTATTGGACTGTTCTGAAGAGATTGTTGGTCTGATAGCTAGAGCAAAGAATTAAGAGCTGCGATGTTCATTTAGCCGCTGGGATGTCTGACTTGCTCTGAAACCGGGTGGGTATCATTCTCCTGCTCTAGCCTCGACCAAGCAAGGTTAGCACTGACACCACAGGGACATAGGTGTAAAGGAATGCTTCATAATTGCTGTGAAGCATGAGGACATCTTTGGAGGGTGTGAACTACGTATGTTCAGAGTGGCTCTTGTTCTCAAACTACCATAAAGCTTTTTACTTCCTTTCAGGTTCTGACTTTATAAAAACGTCTACAGGAAAGGAGGTAGAAAACGCAACCTTTCCAGTTGGAGTAGTCATGATGCGAGCCATTAGAGAATTCTACTGGCAAACTGGCCACAAGGTAATTCTCACTACCTTTATAAAGATCAACCCAACAGGCTCACTCAGAAGGAAATAAGCCTGTAAGAGTTCCAAAATACAGAATGTACAAATCCACATACATTAGTATCTGTGGCTATATGAGCAATAGGTAATGGGACTTCCCTCTTGTATTTCTCATTTGGTTTGCTAATATTTGTATACTTAAAAAAAAAAAAGAAGGCACTTTTGTTTTTCCTCCCTTGAATAACTGTCACTTCATTCCCTAAAAGCTCATGCAATCTTGATACATCCCCTGCTGCATTTGGGTTTGAGTTTTGGTTCACCATTTAAGGTATTTAAATGGTCATCTCCATTAATAACAGGGCAAATCTCAAGCTGACAGTGACTAGCATACTCCCATAAACCTCAGTGGAACTACACAAATTCATAGCCGTCGAGAGTTCAGTGTACACAACTGTATTTTCTGACTGAGTTCTGGCAACCCAAAGGATAAGTTCTGCTCTTTCGTCCCTTGCCAGAGGGGCTTTCCAAAGGGACAAGAAGGAAGATCCAGTTGGATCATTTTGTCCGGAATGAAGAGAGGGAGGGACAGGAGCCAGAACAACATTATGTCCCGGTACGCAACATTTATCTGTCAGGTCACTCCCAAGTGAAGTCAGTGGAGGCAAGGAGCAGGGGGGAGCGTACGGCAGAGCCAGTGATGAACTATCTGTGCATTCATCCTTGCACTGAGGCAGTGAGAAAGGAGGAGGTTATCCAGGCCTCCTCTCACCTCCTTTATCCATAGGCAGGTGGGGGCTGCTAGTTAGATCTGGTGCTGGTGTTCAGCAGTGGGCTTTGTCCTCACCTGCAGCCTCAGGGAAGGAAACTCTATCTCTAGCTAAAACCTTCTCCTCATTTCTGGGTGACCCTTCTCTCCTCCTCACCCTTCCTTCTGTCCCTTCTGCAGGTGGCCTTTCAAGGTATGATGTTAGGACATGGAACGAGCAGTGGTATAGGGGCTGAGATGGCTTCAGGGGCTGTCAGAGCTTGAGGAGCCTGTGAGAACAGGTTAGACACGTGTCCATCTGCTCTCTGTAGCCATCTAGATGAGGCCAGCGTGGATCCCTGGGCTGTCCTCAGTCTTCCCTTCCGCAGCCTGCGTCGATCTCTGCCACGCAACAACTCAAGCAGCTCCGATAGTCTTGCTTCTGCGGGAGCATCAGCACTGCTGCGAACCTCAGGCAGATCCCTGGGGCTGGGTGGCTCACCTCAGTACTGGTGCTGCTTACACGAGCTGTGTGCCAGAGGTTGGGCTCTGCTGCATTAGCACAGCTTTGTACCTATAATTGGATATAAATGTTGAATTCACCTTTTGCTTTAAAAGGATGCATTCATGGTATAAAATGTGTTATTAAGAAAGAGTGCTTATGTCTGTGTGCATGTGTGTGTCAGCGAATTAGATGTAAACTGACTTTATGTGCTTTTATTGACTGAAGACAATATTATCAGTGACAAGAGATTTCTAAATGGTTTCTTTAACAAACTAATTTTGCTGCTGTAGGGATGCTTTCTAGCACGGCGTTGGCTGGCAAAAACAGGTTAATACAGAAATTAAACTTCTTCGAGGAAAGGAGCAAGTTGCAGAGTAACATTTATTGAATGATAAGCTGTGGTGGTGATATGAAAAGTGTGCAATATAATGGGAAATAATCTTTTCCTGTCATTATTGAAGGACATACATAAATTGGTTTTTCTGTTGGGAAAACCCCCAATCCAGAAAAACTTATTACTTTTAATAATATAAGGTGAAGAGAAAATTCTTGAGGAGATGAACTTATTAAGCAAAATAATGAAATGCTGTGAAACAGCAGGAAAGTGGTAGCTGGACTTTGTACTGCTCTTGAATTAAATACCAATCCTGCTTCCCTTTTTGCGTTTTTATGGCAGTCAGATGTGCCATTTGGAAAGCCGGTAAATGGAGGAGAGGACAGGCTTGTCTTTGTCAGCTTTTTTGCAAAGAAAAGAGCTTTCAGAATTTACTAAAAGGGGAAGGAATTCTGCATGCTGTTTTTAATTCTGTTATTTAACTCTGTTTTACTTGGTTTTGCCACAGATTATCTCAAAGAGCTGTCATATTTCTAGGAAGAAATCTAAATTTGAATTTCATTAGAATTTCTCTTCCTGAGGGAAAACACATTCCCACTATTTTAACTTATTGTCTAGAAGATGCTTTTCCACTTGCTGTGGTATAAATTCCTTTTGGAAATCTAATGTTAACAGATGTATGCATATACTCACGCATCCATCCATCCATCCATCCATCCATCCATCCATCCATCCATCCATCCACAAAAACACAGTCTTACTGGTTTTGATTTATCAAGCCTTTCCTGTTATTGTACTTTATAATCTTACTGGAAATACACTGTTATCACAATGCTTCAGTGCGAGAGAAGGATTTATTCTGTGTTTGTTTGTCCTGAAATCACTATTAAAAAACCCAAACAAGCACATTTAAAAACAGATGCTTTTTGATACCACAATGATGTCCGTAAGGTACAAAGAAATCCTCAATGCAGTGTGGTTTCAGGAGCATATATACGAAGCTGACAGGAAGGAGTACCTGAGTTAAGAGCTGATGGCAGAGGGAAATGTAGAAAGAATCACTGTGTGCTACTGTACAGATTGTTCAGATTTAATTTTATTTTTTTGATGCAGAAACCCTTTTTCCTGATTCTCCTTGTTTTTCAAGAGTTTAGTAAGATGCTACAGACCAACATTCTGGCTAATGCAGGTGACAAAATTTTTGATGAGGGATTTGATAGCTCTGTGTCACAAGCTCTGTCTCAGAATGAGATTTGGCATGTAACCAAAAGACTGGCATTAGGGGTGCATGCGAAGTCACCTCAGTGCTGGCTCTGCACAGCAAGTTGATCATGGAATTCAAGACATGCTTTACCCCAAAGATAGGTTTTTCTTGGTGTGTGTGCCTCTACATACATGTCACCTGACCAAATATGATATGTATCTCTCATCAAGTGACTGAAAGTATATCCAGCATGTGTTGGGAGAGAAGTTTTGCAGTTCCTGTGAAGCATAAAACTTTCAATTTTTGGTAAAGACAGAGCTAATTTATTCCCATTTGGAAAATTTTAATGAAAATTAAATCTCTGATAGGTTTGAATGTACAGCCCAATCATATGTAACTGCGGTGCACAGGCTTTTATGGAGTACAACTATCTGAGTCAGCTGCCTCACATGCTTTATTTCAGCATCTTTAGTATTATATTATTGCGTGGATATTTATTGTTACATATTTGGAATTAGATTGTGACACGGGCAGTAGGTGATATGCAGATATCACAAGTCCTGCCTACATCCCTTAGCCTAATATGTGCTATGGGCAAAGTGCTCCCATTAGACCTCGAACCCAGCTCCTGAGAAGGAGCACTGGGGTCGAAAGTATTACTCCCTCAGGTGCTGTCCCTCGGGATGAAATTGTTATCTTTCGCAGTGATGGCTGAGGCTTGATAGCTGCCAGCACTAGTCCGGAGCTTATACTGTTTGCAGTCAGGTACTTACCGAGTAGAGTTGTTACATACACCACAGGCACTTTGAGACTGCAGGTTGTACAAATGATGATTGCTCTTCTAGGGTAGCTGATGAATGAAAATGTGTATTGCACTTTTTCCTATATAAAGGTTGGATTTAAACCTGCTGGGGGCATTCGGACGGCAAAAGAAGCTATTACTTGGCTTATGCTGGTGAAGGAGGAACTGGGAGTGGAATGGCTAACGCCAGAGCTCTTTCGCCTGGGTGCCAGTAGTTTGCTGGAAGACATTGAGAAACAGGTTAGTTGTTAATGGTTTTCAGCTTGTTGGAGAGAAAAAGTAATCTTTCTAAATGTGCTGTCTTACTGTTTTTGCAGAATATGCTTTTTGGTGCTGTTTAAAAGATATAGAACATACATCTAATTCATTATTAACAACAGGTTAACTTCCAGCCCAGTATTTCTTTAAATTTGGCCTGTCATTACAGACATCTGATATTTCAGCAGCTGGCAAATGCCTGGGCCAGGTTTTGCAATGCAGTGAGCAAAGAGGCTCGGTTTGTACATACACAGAGTCTTTTGCAAAGGCATGTTAGTGCAGTCCCCTGTGCTCCTAGCTGTTGCCAGTTCAGCTGACCCTCAAAATATCTCACAGACCCTTTGTGTCACAGTGCTGCAACTGTTCACAACGTGTTTCCATGCTGTGGAGGAAGTCACATCTCATCCTACATATGGTAGTGCTGATAGAGAAGCTTTTACATATCAATTATTTCCTGGGGAAGAAAAGCAATTGCCTCCTACAAAGCCTCATTTTTCTGATTGCTTTTATTTTTGTACAGGCTGGTCGCTGTGTTTCCTGGCAGTCAAACAGTGAATGACGTGCAGGGGCAATGTGTAGTTCCTGGTGGGAAGAAGGGTTCTGACCTATCTGCCCACGATCTACCTCACTGGCGCAGGGTATCAACCCCGAAGGATACAGCATGGTTGAGAACAGTGTAGTGTCATAGGAACTACTAAACCACTAGGGCTGCTGAACTTCACTACCATGTTCATTAAACTCAGGAGATGAGGTGACACTAGCTTTAACCAAAAAAAGTTTGAGAGTCCTTGTGCTGTTGCTGCTGGTGGGAGAACTTGAGATGTAGGGGATTTGGGGGAGAAAAATTGTCACTCGGTTCCCTTTCCCCACCTTTTTTAGCAACTGTAATACTAACATGTCTTAAGAAATACAGAACAGCTGAGAGATGTCAGGTGAATATTCATGACTGTTGAAAACCCCTGGCTCACTCCTGCAGTGAGAATAATATTGGCTTGCTTCATTGCCAGACTGCCTCTGCCTCACTCTTGACCTAAAATCATGTCCCTGGTTATGACAAAGCAGCATGAGCTTTCTTGTTGCTACTGCCATTGATGCTGAGTCTTACAACACAGCCAGTGATTGTGTCACATGATTTATTCTGATTTCTCAAGGGTGGCATCCTATTTTCTGCCAGGGATTGCACAAATACCACAGTCATGACCAAAGCTCTGCTACACTGTGCCATCTAAAAACACGTAAGATAAAATGTCCCAACCACTATATTCAACAAAGCAAACAGGTATTTAAAAAAAGCCAAACAAACATAGAAAATGGGGAGAATACCCACCTACCCCAAAGAGAGTACAGTTAAAATAGTAGTTTTGAATGAGCCATATAAAAGTATAAGCATAAGCAATTTTGGATACTTTGAAATAGTACTGAAATCATCAAAATCCGATTACAGTGAGAGTAAAGCATTGTCCTCTACCTGGCTCTTTTTGAAAACTTAGTGAAATGCGTCAAGAGTCTTTGCTTTTTTATTTTTTTCCAAGCTAAGCATCAGAGCCCTTAGTTCAGATCCTATAAACAAGTGTATAAAGGTATATTACATGATATTTTATGCGCAGACACACACACACACAAACACATATCCATCATCTTCATCTGGCATGCCTTTAATTTGTTACTTCCTTGACACTTTCAGATTTATAGTCATATATAATTCCATCATAAATTTTCTTTTTTCTTGCAGATTTTCTATCATGTGACTGGCTCTTACGCACTTCAGCATGACCTGGCAATGGCTTAGGCACAAAACCAACTCAGGATTACTTTTACAAAAGAGGTCTTTAAGCAAACGGCATTCAGAAGTCTTCTGACAACCAAGTGCATATGATAGAATTAAAGGCCTAATTCTCCCTTCTTCATATTTTATAGTATTTAAAAATATGCTCAAGTCTGATGGTGGTACTTGATCCAAAAGGAGAAAAAAATGGTAATTCTGAAATAGTTAAATAGTTAATACTTACAGATTTGCAAAGTTAATCTTGCAAAGTCTTCCTCAGACCAGCCTGAAAAGCTTATTAATGGCAACGCTAAAATACTAGGAAAAAGATTTAGGTGGCCTGTTAACACTTTGCAGTTGCAGAATATGAAATATCTATGGAATGTTTCAGATTGCTAATTAGGAGCTACAGATTTTGGAATAGCTTTCCATTCACCTCAAACAAAATCTTCTGCCACAGATGTGTTGCACTATTAATTGTTATGTTGATTCCGTTTCAAGCATTGTAATGTGAGAAAATGAAACTTTGCTATTTCTTTTATAAAACGTCTCTGCAGCAGAGAAACCTTTTTTTTCTTTTTGTATTTTTCCCCCCAAACTTGGGCACAGACATCCATATTTAGACCCTTGAATAAAGGTGGCTTGATTTCTAGAACAGCTGAGTATCCACAGTTGCTCCTGAAGTTAATGGGAGCTCTGGGTGATCAGAACAACTGAAAATCAAGCAGCCTCTATATAGGTGCCTAACTATGCATTCAGGGGCCTATTTTTAGGCACTTCACTCTTAAAATTTTAGTCTAACTTGCTTAGAAGCTCCCATTCCTGTCTCCTGTCATTTTAAAACACATTCATGCAAATCTTTCCATTTTAATGTAGGGGGGTTTGATTGTCAGTTCGCAGGTGTCACTGGTGTGCTGGCTGAAGTTCAACTTTGCCATTCTGAAAACAATTCTTTAATTTAAAAGGTGATTTGAATTGTGTCCTATACTGGGTTTACAGCTTTAATGTAAAAAGTACTTTCCTCAGGGCACATTAAGAATAATACCGAAATCATCAACACCTTTTGAATATCAGACTGGAGCTAGTAGATTCATTATTTCAGAACTGTATTCTGCTCACTAACCAGAGTTGTACTAAAAACTTAATTATCTTATCATCGTGACTAGTCTCACTGACTTAAGTAGGTCTCATCAGGGAAGTAAGAGGAGGAGGATTTTGCTGTAAATCAAGCTACAAGGTACATTTATTACAAAGAGATCTGTGCTTCATAAAGATAATAACTCAGTTATTTATCTGGTTATACCACCTGAGTCACTAGTGCTCTACAAAACACCTTGGACAGATAGGAAAGCTGAATAGGGAAAAAAAACTATCAGACAAACAATATATACAGAAAGCAAAATCCTATGTGCAGTTCTCAGTACTAAAAATAGGCCTTAATTTCCCAGGAAGTAGTTCATCCGAGGCTCTCAGCTTTTTTCTGGTTTATGTCTCAACAGAAAATGAAGCTGAGCCATGACTCTATTTTCACCCGTTTGTTTTCCTGGAAAGTGGCCTTTTTTGCCATGGGTTTTCCGTCTGATTTCACTGGAGGTTTCTTGAAGGAAGAATCCAGTGCCTGTTTGCATATTTAGAGGAAAATTCTGCTGCTGAGCTTTCAGAAATACAGAGCCCATTATATGAAGTCAGCTCCCACCAGGTGCTTGCCAGGTTGACCCTCTGCCGTGCCTTCCCAGCAACCGCACACTGGATTTTGCTACTGTTTATCTCTAGTCGTTTAACTGTTAGAGTGTATTTCAATACTTTCATAACAGAAAGATTCACCTCACTTGCAAAGTACACTTTGCTGTTGCTGGCTGTCTTTTGGACATTTAGGGTGAAGATAGAAGCTATTTTTTGGAGGTGCTTTAGTTTCTAGATGAAGGACTCTGTAGTTCCTTAAAATTAATGAAGGTCCAACTTTGCCGCCTAACTATTTAACATGAGTACCTCTGAGAACAACCTTACTGTTTCCACGGGAACCACATGTCAATTAATGAACTTGCCAGGAGGAATTGTTTGTATTTCTGTTGATGGCTCCCCTTCATTTGGATGTGCGCATGGGCTGCTGCTGGTTATTGCGCTTCAGAGGGAACAGGCTCCATTTGTGGAGGGAGAGGTTCAGCTTCCTGAAAAGTCAAAAGGTAGCCGCTTCTCTTGTCCATGAACATTACAAAGACAGTGATGTGAAATACTGTGCAACTCCAAGCCAGTCAGTGTTTTGAGAGAAGCTGGGTTGGAAAGTAATTAATTTTTTTTCTGTTGAATCCTGTCATTTTTTGGGGGAAAAAAAAAAGATAAAAATGTAAAAATAACAGAATCTGTAAACACATTCAAATAAAGAAGATTTGGGTTTTGGGATAGTGTTTTTTGAGGAATACATGTTATAGAGTGACTGGTTGTCCTTGTTAACTTCTCTGTGACTCAAGTGAGTTGTATTTGTACTGTATATGGTTGTGGACTCCCAACGTGATCTGGAGCCTCGTCTCTCACTCCTCCTATAGAAGCTGCTCGTACCAGCCACGTCTTGGTCTGTTGACAGCCCTTGATGATTTGAGGGGATGAACTGGGGGTCCTGTCAGGAGCAGCAAGGGCCTGGGCTGGAGACGTACAACAAGGTGTGTCCAATGGGCCCATCCAGGAGGCAGCTACCGACAGCGCGGGTCCGAGGTCCGTGCTGGAGGCAGAGGGAGGGCTGGAGACTGGCACTCCTGCAGCACAGCTCAGGCAGGCGCTGAGGGCCATGGGCTGAGCTGAGGTGGGGCTCCTGGGCCCCGGCTGTGGGGCTGGGCAGGGCCAGAAGCACCACGGGGCTTATTCCAGTCCTGAGCCTGTGAGAGATCCAAACACGGGGGATGCGGGGACTAACATGCGTTTTGGGCTCAGGTCGGAGGCTGGCGCAGCAGGACCTACACGCCCACCCGCAGGGAACTGGAAGAGCTCACGGTGTGGTCTCCTAGGCTCGCTGCCCTTCGCCCTGACCAGCACTTCCACTGCCCTCTTTTCCATCTTCCCCATCGCTGGCGGCCATTTGCTGCTATTTGGTTCCCGTCGTCAGGGAGCAGCTGAGATTTATCGAGGCTGCTGCAGCTGGTTGTCACTCGTGCAGACAGCACGTGAGAGGCGATGGGGACCTGAACTCAGTCGGGAGCCAGGGAGGGGGCAGTGCTCGGCTGCTGCATAGACTTGGGGAAAAGTTCAGATATAGTGCTGTGCTTCAGGCCATTAGGAAAGAAACAGGCAATTATGAGCTCCAGTCTAAATATATTTCAGAGTATAACATATGTTTTGTGCAAGTCAGTCTTGTACACTAATTTATTATTTTGATAACACTTATTCGTTTAGGATTTTAAATAGCTTCATTTTGTAGACCACATTACTTTGCAAAGAATAAACTCAAAAAAGTCAAATAGAAACTGCAAATCTAGAAGATTCTGCATCAGCTTGTTTACAAGAAGAGGGAATTGAGAGAGAGGGTAAGCTTTTTTTCTGGTTTGTAGGAAACAAAGATATTAAATAGTAATTATATGTGAAGTGTACATATCAGCTGGGGCAAGTAATACTTTGATATCTTTATTTCATCAGTCGTAGAAGTTCATTCTTTCATTTCCTTTGTGAAGCAGGGAACATACATTATATACCGTAGCACATGCTATTGAGACAGAAAAAACCTGATCTACTTTTAATTTTGTTTTGCTCGGTTGGAACTTTGGCTCCCTGCCTCCCCTGGGGGGGTGAAAAGCCCACAAAACAACAACAGCAAGTGTTATCCAAATCTTGGTGAGCTTTTGCTGAAATTACCAGTCTGACATCTGGATGATACATATAGTGTGCAGTAGGAGTAGAAGGAGGGAAATGCTTTTTAATTAGATGTAACCTGCCCAGGAGAGAAAAGCACAGAATTGTCCATCTGGTCAGTCCTTGTTTAATAGGGCAACAAAGGATAAGAGTATTCTTAATATGCAAAGACACTATAGGTGAAATTACTGATCGACCATTTTTATTAAAATCCCAGAAAGCTGAAACTGTGCTAAATTAATAGGTGGTAAGACTTACAAATAAAGAAGCATCAAGAAAGGCTGCAGTCCTTGCACTCCCTAAAAGCAAGAGTAAGTAAGTCATAGGTGACTATTAGGTCCCAACCAGCTGTATTGTAGAGACCTTTCCTCTGTTCTAGATAATTTAGATCCTTCCCCTTCTGTGAGGACCTACAGTAATTACTTACCAACAGAAAGTGTGACAAAGTTGCTTTAGTATCCTTTAATGAAATGTAACATTGATGCAATGAAGGAGTGCCAACAAGATGCTCTGGCCATTCCTAATGAGTCTAGTGATTTTAAGTGTCTCTGTTTTGAGCACTGGGGACATCTTGTGGATTGCTAATTCTTGGAAATTGCAGAAAATTTGGGCTTCTGGAAACAAAGCTTTCTTGAGGCGTAACAGTTTCAGATCTCGGAGATCACAAGAAGTGTTTGAAAACACTGAATTGTGAAAGCATCAGTTTAGAATTGCTTCCTTAGCTGAGATGAAAACAAAGGGGGTTTTAAAGAATGTTAACAAACTGAGGAAGCTACACTGGAATTGACTATACTTGTTTTTTCAAGACTTGCTTTCTCTATGGGAGAAATAGAGGAAGGAGCTTTGCAGGCTCAGCTGGTGGAGATTAGCATCATCTCTAAAGTACAGTGTCATACAAAACCAAGCCCCAAAATGGATGATGGTTTGCCCAGAAAAACAAGGGAAAGCTTTATAAACTGATTTTTTCCATTTCAGTAATAGCACGAGCTCTGTTTTTATTCAAAGGCATACATGAGGTCTCAGCTATTTACTAGTCGTATCAAACAAGCGGACAAGCAAACCAGCCAACCAGTTCGCTTCCTACGTCTGGGCCGAGGCCAGTGACAAGACTGGTTTGGTAATCCTGCTGGTTGGGAGTCCCTGATGCTGTTGCACCTGGAAAGCAAGCGGACTGATGGAGGAGCCTCCTAACGCTTACTATCACTATCGTGCCTGCCAGCTGCATGAACGAGCCCCTGCTCTTACTGCCTGAGAGGTTGCCCTGGGGGCGGAAGGTGCTAAAACTGTCTGAAGTGATTACTGGTCCGTTGAGAACATTTTTTTTTTTCCC